CCGAACGAACCCTGACAACAAGCTGTTCTGGAGGCTGCATGTGGAGGGACGTGTTTAGGCCCTGAAGTCCACCAGCAGAACCTCGCTGTCATCATCGACACCGTCTCTTCCTGAAAAGCAGAAATATAAATGTTTGGCCATAAATGATTAATCCCAGAGCCTCTAGTTTCATCTAAATGTGACACAAGTTCAGCATGAGGGGCCTTCACCGTAAACAAAGAGCTCTGGGACGGGGTCCTGCTGGACTTCAGGGTTCTTGGTAGCCGTGAACGTGTCATTTGGGTTGAAATGAGGTCTGCTGTCTGTTGGTCTTGTTCAGCCTGTGACAGCCATGTTTCCTCTCTGCTGTATCTGCTCAGCCTGAGGACCGGAGCCTCATGGCATCACTGAGGCCTGAAATAAGGCTTCTCATTGTTGTTCCCTGACCAGCTCCTGCTGCCTCTGCTTCTATTCCAACCACATTTTTATCAATGATCTAACGTCTCCTGAGCGTAAACGAGAAATCAACAAGATGGTGTTCTGGTGTAGAGCAGCTGGTGTCAATAACAGGAGAGGCCATTATCTCCGAGAGGAGCTCCTCTCAGCACCATGGACAGAGACATTCAGCACAAGCTGCCACAGAAACGGAACAAACAGAACCCGAACCCAGCCTCATCACCTGAGCGGTACCGAGCAGACACATGCTAGTGAACGAGGCGGTGGGAGCTCCTGTTCGTGTCAGCTTAGGTGTGAGCTCATCGCCCGGCCTGGTGCGCACCACCAGCGCCGAGGCGTTCCGACGGCTCCTGTTTACCTTTATAAATAAGGTCCTCGGTCTCCAGGTCGAATCCCTCCCGGTGACACTTCCTCCAAAGCCCGGAGATGGTGGAGTTAAACTGGCGGCTGCAGTGAGACTCCATCGCGGACGCGGCGGCCAGAAAGTGCCGCTTCCCCCGGACGAGCGGAGCAGCATCTGGGCCGCTACCTTTCCTCTCCAGGCTCTTAGGAGGCATCTGGAGGGGGAGGTTGTGGTTCGAAATGTAGATGTAACCCGGGTCGTTTCGCTTGTTGGCATAGTTTTTACACCTCTCCCGGTGCCTCCTCGCGTCGGTCTCGTACCAGTAGTCGGTGCAGATCGCCATGGCGAGCAGCCCGAGCGCACAGAAAGCCAAGAAGAGCCCCGTGCTGGTTAATATTTTCATAGCGGCCATCTTCCCCGCTCGATGGAGAGCCCAAACAGTCGCAAGAAGGTTCCTCCGTGGCCGTGGTGGTTTGGTGGTACCGCGTGAAATAAATCACGACGGCACTCACAGCCTGGCGCGGTCCTGCCCTGGGAGCATGGCGGTGCGGGACCAGCGGAGTCCGGACTGGATGCTGCGGTCTATTGTTGTGGTGCCCGGTGGATGCAATGTTGTTCCCACCATCTGTTATGGTACAGGAGGAGGAGAGGGGATGGATGGCGACCAACGCTGTGAGGAGGAGGCAGGGGCAGGGGTGTAGTTGCGCTCTCTCTCCTCCAGGCTGCTGCGGGATGGATGGGGGAGCAGCAGACACCAATGCGCTCTGTGGTGGTGGTGGAGGGGGGAGCGGTCATTTGTGATGCTTCACTGGTCACCTTTTAGCTTTGTAGGTAAACATGTGAAGCACAGGTGAGCTGAGGAGGAGCAGCAGCAGAGTGGAGGCTGTGAAGGAGCTGCTATGATCAGCCGGTTGGTCGGATTCAGGCAGATAGCACAAGACTGCGTTTTGTACCCAAAGATCTCTGTTTTTCTCTTTTTACAATCTCTTTCAAATGAATGAACAGTGAATGAGCAGTGAAACCAGGAGGTCCAGTGAGAGCAGCTCCAGTCAAACAAACACACCAAAGTCATGCAAACACACAGCTGCTGCTAAAGATGGAAACTAGGAATAGAAAAGGAGGAAGACAACAGTCCAGGCCAGCAGAGCATCAGCCTGCTGCAGGAGGCTGCATGGGCAGAAAACACACTTCATCTGATAAAGAATGCTGTCAGATCATTCAGAAGACTCATGTTTAACCCTGCTCAGGACTTCCCAGACCTAGAAGGTGTTTCTGGGTCCATTGGACCCCAAGAAAGAACCTGTGTTGGTGTTCATTATAGACTTGATGTTAAATCCATGTTCTGATAAGTTGACACACATTTCCCTCTTTTTATAGTTCAAATAACAATAATAATAAAAAAACACACCTGTCACCTGAACCACATGGCCCGGGCTCCAGAAGACCCCGACAGTCCTGAACAGGGTTAAACTTGGGATGTGGTTAGATGGTGAGTTTGAAATGTGAAATATTGTGCATGAGCTGTTTTTTGTACATTAAACAACAAACAAACAAACAAACAAACAAACCCTTTCAACGTGTTGCTCTCTCTCTCAGTATCTCCAGCAGACTGTGCAGGAAGCAGAACATCGTCTGTTGTGGTCTTGACTCTTCAACACAATCGTTCTCTAACTCTGACCCAGAAGTGAACGTACCTGTGATCACTGACACACTAATCCTGCCTTCATTAAAACCAAATGGAGTCCATCTGTGATTTTCAATCCTAGATGTATGAACATGGTTCTAAAATGGCTTGTGAACACCAGAACCTTCTCAGTCTGGGCTCTGTGTGGGCTCATGGCTCCATGTGAAGACTTGCAAGAAAGACTGAAAAAATCCAACTGCAAGACTTCACAAAGATGGAAACAGATACAGGAAGGTTGGTGACCAGCTAAACATCACTTCAACCCTGTTCAGGACTGTTGGGCTCTTTTGGACCCATGTGGTTCAGGTGACAGGTGTTGTTTTATTTTTAATATAAAAAGAGGGACATGTGACGTGCATTTGGAACCAAACATACGTCAACTTATCAGAACATGTATTCTATAATGAATAATAGTCTATAATGAACAGCAACACATATTCTGCTCAGATTCTTTCTTGGGGTCCAGTGGACCAGAAACACCTTCTACGCATGAAACATGAAGGTTCTGGACGGGGTTAAACAAACAGCTGCAGCAGCAATCAGGAGGTTTAGAACCAGTCATGGTGTCACTAATCAGAGCTGCAGTCGTCCTCCTGAAGCGAGCCCACAGGCAGCGTGCTGCTTGGTACCATCTAGTTCTGAACAGCAGGAGGGCGGGCGCTCCAGACTTGGCTCAGGGGGCATCAATGGAAACTGGACTTCCATGCTGTCTTCAACAGTACGGCTAAACACACCAGCATTTAAAAAACAAGATCTGAATCTCAGTCAAAGTTGTACTGACTTTTGCTGCAGTGACTTCCTGCCTGTATTTTTATTTTTTAGTTATTTTTTTGGCCTTTGTGCCTTTATTGATAGAGCAGAGAGAGAGAGAGACAGGAAGGTGGAGGAGGACATGTGGGAACGGGCCATGAGCAGGATTCCAACTCATGACGTCCACATCAGGACTGTAGCCCTGTATATTGGACACCTGCTGAACCAGGTGAGCTGTAGCGGCGCCCCACTGCCTGTATTTTTAATAGCATGATTCTAACCTGATGGTTTTTAATTTGACATTAGCGCAAACATCCTGTGTGACCGAAATGATGCACTTGTCGAGGTAACACAGGGTTTAACTGTGATCTGGGCTTCCTGCTTTTGTTGTCTAAAGCAGAACTGGATTATAAATCTCTGATGAACTCTCTCACGCACCTTTAATTCCTCATTTGTGACTGATCCATACTCAGATGAGGCTCGGTAGATGACAAACCATCTGTTAGGAAGCGGTTCTGACGGCACAGCTCCACGTCGAGGCGTTCGGTGCTGACATGAATGTTTTGACTTGTTCAGCTTCGTTCAC